CGGCGCAGCGGCGGGGAGTGACGTCAGCGCGCACGCAGGGAGTGGCGCCAGCGAGGCGCGTGCCTCTCGGCAGCCTAGGGAGCGGGACCCCGTCGGCACCGGGGGCACGCTGGGCACGCTGCCTGCAGCCCCCGGTACCGGGGCGGGGCGGGTTACAGTCCCCCGAGTAAATTCGGGCCGATGCATTTCATTTGTGAGCCCCCTGGCCGCCCCCGAGAGAAACGTAATCGGTGACGAATATCAGATCTATTCCGTGAGAAGGAACATGGTGCAGCTTTTCTCAGCTGGGAGCGCCCGAAGCACAGTAGGTTGGGAATGTACAGGAGTAAAAGGCGAGAGGGTGTGGGCAGGCGGAACTGCAGGCCCGCAGAGGCATCTCCTTGCTTTCCCTGACATAGGCCATGCTCGAATGAGGCAGGAGGAGGCCATATTGCTGGCATGAGCCGCCCAAGCAATGTATACATATATATACATACAATGAAACAGAACAGCCACAGAAAGCTGTAGTTAACAATAGTGATTCATTGATGCTGTTACAGTAGCCCTCAGCCCATGCCGGCTTCCTAAGCGGGAGCAACTCGTGTGGGATTCGGAGCAGGATCCCTGGCAGCACAGTGCCCAGCCTCTCTGGGCACAGCCTCACCCAGAGCACGCAGGCGGGAAAGCAGCAAGTGGGAGAGTTGCCACAGAAGGAAAGGCAGCTAGCGGGAGAGCTGAAGCAGCTCCTTCCTTTAATGACATGTGCAGCACTCTTAGTCCCTCTTTTTAGTTTTTCCTGCATGGGCAAACTCGGATTCATCATAAAACACGTGTAGTGATACATGTGATTCTGAACCTTCACAACTAGGAAGTTTTCTTTTTTTTTTTTTTTCTTACACAGGAATAAATATTTTAGGGTGTGAGGGAACTGTTGTGTTCACTTGTTACATGGACCATAGGATTATACAGCTAATTCCTCAGTTTTACTCCTTACAACAGCAAATAGCTGAATATCTCTTGAAAATCTGCTTCCCGTATATGCTTTTAGTCCCCTTTCCCAAAGGAAATGCAAACTCTGCAAGGACAAGTGTGTCTCCCTCCTCTTCCAGCAGCTTCTGGACCGTTGGCTAATTTCACCAAGAGGTGACAGAAAGCAAGAGCGTTCAGAGATAAACTTTCTGCCACTTTCAAAGAAACAGGCAGAGATGATGGGGATCCCACAGGAGAGGCTTCTGGAGGGCTCCCAGCTTTGACTAAGGTTCACAGCTTTGCGTACCTCAAAATCAGCCAGTACCCAAAAAAACAGGGCAGGTTTTCCAGGCACTGGTGCATGCTGAACTGCCCATTTGGGTTTGCTGTGAACTGTCCCTTGTTAGCTGAGCTTGCCATTTCTTTTTAAACAGAAAAAATCTTATGTAGAAATTGGAATGAAGCACATAGCAATTGTTACTTTTTAATCTCAAAATGACCTTTCCGAAAAAAAACCAACCAGCCTTTCATAACACTTTTTACATTATTGAAACTTTTGACATTCTGTACAAAAAATGCCATTTTTTCTTAACACTCAGAGTTTCAACAATTGTGATGATTTTTCATTCACAAAGCATGTATAGTTTGAACAAGGGGAAACAGTTTTCTCCTAAAAATTGTTTCCTTTTTCATGGTATTCAAATCAAGACTTAAATGTTACAAAGTCGGATGATTAACAAATGAGAAGACCAAAGTCCCTGATCCATGGACTGGGTCTGTGCACATGAAAGCCTTTGTTAGCAAAGGCAGTTAGCAAAATTACAGTCAAATTTCTGGAAGGACTGTCAGTTTAAAGTACTGATACTTACATTTCTAAGTATTTAATCCCTAAAAAATTTTTTTTCAAATTAAAATCTGTTGAGATTCTCATTCTTTATGGTCGCTGCTGAATACCAAGCCTGTTCTATGACCAAGGAGCAGTAGCCAGTATTTCCAGGAGCTTGGTTTTGGTGTGCGTGGTGTAAGCTGGACTTGCTTATTCTATATATAGTATGATGCTAATTCAGATGTTATTGGGGTAAAACCTAGATTTATGGTGTTTAGATTAATTTTTAATAAAGCTGAGTAAATCAGTTTGTGCTTCTGGAGCCCGTTTCTTCCCCAGCACGGCTCATGGCAATTTAGAAGCAGCACATTGAGCCTCTCAACTATTCATGAGGGTGATAAATATGAGAGTTAAATTGGAAGGGCCAGCACTGCCAGTGTGGGTCAGTGTCAAAGGAACCTTTGGCTTTAAACTATCTGGAAAATATAAACCTCTATTCCCAACAGCTTTTATTAAGCCATTTTTTATTAAAGCCTTTATTAAAACTGTTATTGATAGAGCACCCAAATGGGCATTGTATGTTCTAAGTCAGTGGGCAATGAGATGGCCAATATCGAGTGCAGAGCACTGAGCAGCTCATAGAAATAAGGCCTCTTGAGTCTACAGAGCCCACAAAGCGTACTTCAAAGAGGGAATGTTACCTCTGAAACCTGCTGTCAGGAAAAAAATAGGATTTCATTGCCAAAAAGATGCAAAGGCCAGTGTTCGTGCTAGGAATCAGCCTCTGAATTGTCTGTAGCTTCTCACCACAGCACTGTGAGGTAGCAAGCTTAGATCACTCTTTGTTTTCATGCGCTCAGGTCCGAGATGGAACAAAAATACTTCTGCCATGAGCCAGAAAAGGGACAGAAAGCCCCGGCAGGTCTGCTAAGGCATGCTGCAGGTATGACCCTTGGAGGGGCCGCAGCCTGGGTCTCCCTGGTGCCATCAGTGCAGTGTGGCCAGTCTGATGGTGAGGCAGCACAGGAGGGAAGTGAGTTTGGTCTGGAGGGAAGTCTTTGTAAGTTCTTCCATTGATGTATGTACAAATCATGGCCAAATGGCTGTATCTGCATAGGAAATGGCTTGGCCACATACATGATCACTATGGGCTGACCTTGCTTTGAAACCAAGTTTCCAACAGAAAAAGAGGCAGGAAGGTGGGAGGACCTTTCCTGTAGCAATTTGAGCAGAAACCTGCAGGGCCTTGGTGATGTTACTAGATTTCACACTTCTGCTGGTTCATGATCCTTTCAGGTGAAAGTTAATTCTTCTGGAGAGGAGGGTGTTAAATGAAACCCTGTGTTTTTTGAAGTTAAATCAGTTCTGGAGTTGAGAGCTATCTCCAGAGCAGCTGACATGAGACCTGTGTCAACCTGTTTGAGGCCCCAAACAATTTGGGGGCATTGTTTCCCCCTGGATGTAACTACAAAACCTGCGCAGAGTAAGCAGTCAGGTGTACGCCTCCTGTTCGTGAGCTTCCCAAACATGGGGGAAAGCTCTGGATATCCACAGCTATTTGTGCATTGTCCGTGGAAGAGATCAACAAGGTTATTTATGCAAAGAAAACAGTAATTTGTTTCCGTCAGGTTTTTATCCCTAGATGCAATATATTCCTGAGCGTATCCTACTTAGGCTTTTAGAGAAAAAAAAAAAAAAGGAAATTAGGAAAAAATCAGAAATTAGGAAAAAATAAGATGTGCTGGGGTAAATTAAACCTGCTGCAATGTCTGCCAGTCACTCAGTGTGCCTCCCCATCACTCCTTCTCCATCCCATAGTTATCACAGCATGAGCTTTAATTGATATTGAAGAAAAAAAAGAGAACCTGGAGGAATAATAAGGGCAACTGATGCAAATGAACCATGTGTGCAGTCCTCCCCACAGCTTTCCTCTCCTCCCTGAGGAGCCCTAGTAGGATGTGCTCTGCAATTAGTATTTCATTGAAATGATACCTTTTTTGCTGCAAGATGGTTACAGCTGGTGGTAGCTTCTTAATACAGTGTGCGAGGTCTGGGGGTCTGCAGAGATTTTATGTTCATGCAGATGAATGCAAATGATTTTACAAGGTGTCATGGTGTTGCTGTGTTTGTTCCTTCCCTACAAAACAGGGACCACGATGTCCTGCAGCTTTCTTCCCTGCCTTGCCTGACGGAATAGATGCCGACCCACGGGGCTCGTAACCCCACTGGCCAGGAGGAATTGTTCATTTTGCAATTCTGTTTTTACATGTTTCTGCAAATAGTATGTGCCATCATTTAGGAGAGATGAA